CCGGACCAGCTATCACCACTCCACAGAGCAAAGACAAAGTAGAGACCCTTGACAGGTCCGTAATCTTCCTCAGAGTGGAGGAAAGTAGGGGCTCGGAGCCACGTAAACGTTTCAAACATGACTTTGGCGAGGTACAAAGTTTGCTAAACCAGCTTTTACCGGAAAGCTTGCCAGGAGTCACCCTATTCAAGGTATATAGAGTAGGAAAGCAGGAGACATTCATTACTGAAAACAGGTCTCGGCTACGTAGCGTCGTATCAAAGTCGACAGGTGAGGGGGGTCGGATTCAGAGGAATCCTCACAGACTTCAAGGATCTAGTGTTCGTGGGAAAGGATGAGGCTCTTGCTGACCAAAACAAAAACGAGAAACAGAACTAAAGTCCAGATTTGCAGCGGGGGAGCAGGATCTGAAAGTGGCGGGTTTTCGGCAACAAGTGATGCCGAGGCCTCTATAGATAGTACGGAAACTTACTTGAGTGGTTTCGTTGTCTTTCCCACGGACGCACGTAGCCCTTTAAAAAAGTGGGCTGGGCATAGTAACGTTACAAGCAGTGAAAGTTCTGACGCTAAGCCTTTACGTTAAGAATACCTTAGCTGTAAAAGCCATAGAAACAGTTGGATATGCTAGTGAGACATGTGAAGTGCTGCGCTACCGACTAAAATGCAGGAGACATGTTAACCAAATCGTAATGTATCCAAGTCTGGAATGTGAGGCGGCAGACTTCCTCCTGAACAAGCCGACCCTCTGGACAGACAAATGCCGATGTCCAGTCACGTAAGACTTTGACGCACCATCAGTTGACTGGAACAGACTAACAAGAAAGACACCACGTAACTCGTTTGATCGCAGGTTAGTGGAAACATCGATTTCATTGGCCCTCACTTAGCGCATTAGGACAGCAACCAGATATGATTGCCAGCATGCTTCATCATTTCTAGACAGTATTCTCATGCACAGGTGACTTGTGCTACACCCGGCTCCTAGCACCTTTTGTTAAAGGTGACCAGGCCGTGACCATCTTCAGATTCACTGCAGATGTCTTGTACCAGGCCAATACCCCGAGTAGGCCCAACACATGGAAAGCGAATATGGAAGTTACTAGCCTGGCAGCCTCTTCGGAGGACTGGACAGCCAACCCAGAAGCCCCGGTTGAAGGTGCGTGGTGCCACTTCAAACAGTTGTATGCATGGGCTATCCGACCGTTCACTCCGTGGACTGTCCCAAGGGGACGGAAACATTGTTCTCCGTGGATAAGACACGAAAACTGAATCTTGCCATGATGTAAGTAAAAGCGTTGGAGTCTTGCCACCCACCTCGGTACTCACGAAGTGGTGAGGCATTACAAAGAAGCCCGAAATAAATGTATCACTACTATCTGACGGTCTCGGATATGCTTTGAAACACATCTTGTTCAGGCTGCATTGCAACGTCCGAAGAGGTTACTTTCCTATATGAACCATAGGGATAAGATGTGTCGTAGTATACCCACCCTAATCAATGGGACAGAAACTGAGTGTTTGATTGAGGACGATAGAAAAAAGGCAGAAGCCAAGACTGGATATTTTGCTGAAGTCTTTACGCAGGAATCTTTTGTGGACACTCAGTCAGCAGCAAAAGCACTGACATCAAACAGAATACACGCTGTGTAAATCGATCGCAACTATGTATTCCGGAAATTAAGTAATCTAGGTGTGGAAAAACCATCGGGACCGGATGGGCTTCACCCAAGGCTGGTCGGAGAGCCTGAATTCCGTATAGCTGGCCCGTTTACTGTTACATTTAGATAATCCCGTCGCAAAGGCACACTCCCTTATAACTGGAAGGATGCCATAGTAACACACATTCACAAGGCAGGCTCTAGGCAGCTCTGACCAAAATACAGACCAATGAGTTTGGCCAGTACTGTAGTAAAAGTCCTGGAAAGAGTGATCAAGAATGCCATCACAGTCCGTCTAGAGAGCAACACTCGATTGTCTCGTTCATAGCATAGCTTTCGCGGAAATTTCTCCTGCTTGACGAACCTCCTCAGAATCAGAGAAAGTTGGGTTAAGTCTAAAGACGATAGAATACCTGTTGGTGTCATTTTCATAGGCATTAGTGAAACGTTCGAGGAGGCACCTCATTTCAGGTTGCTTAGAAAACTGGAAAGTTTTGGAGTCACTGGCAGTCTGCCCGCATGGATAAGAGACTTTCTTTTTGGTAGAAGACGAAGAGTAGGGATCAGTTCTCAACTGTCAACCTGGAAGTCGGTAGAGAGTGGAGTGCCACAAGACAGTCCTGGGCCACCCACCGTTTCTCGTACACGCAAATGAGCTGCCAAATATTAAGAAATCTTTTATGGTTCTCCACACTGATGACGCAAAAGTCTGGCGGGAAATGTGAATAACGAGGATACGTGTGTGCTCCAAGCAAACCCGAGCAGCTTGTTCATCTGGTCACAGAAGTAGTTGATACCTATGAATGTGGGTAAAGTGTGGGCATGCATTTGAGGCACACACACACACAGAGACACCTACGATATTGATGGGAATCCTTCATCGTCAGCACTGACCCACAATGACCTAGGAGTCACAGTGAGTTATGACTTGAGAGCCACGACACACTGTCGTTGGTAGCAGCCTGGAGATTTAGGACGCTCTGGGCACTACGTAGAACGTCCACGAAAGTAAGTGGTGACGTGTTCACCATCTTATACACATTCTAAGTGCGGTCTTAATTAGGAAACTATACGCAGGCGGCTAATCCTTGCCTGAAGGGTGGCACAGACCCTGTAGAATAGAAAGAGTTCAGACGGCAGCCACTCATATGCGCCCTACTATGGCTGGCCTCACCTGTGAAGGCCGACTTAAGGAGCTGAATCCCCTCCCCTTGTCCAATCGCGGACACGGGGGAGACCTAATCATGCTATACAGGATTCTGGGAAATGACTTCGGACCTCATCTATCTTACCCTTTCCTTCTCACTAGGTTGGAACACCTCAGGGGATATAGTAGGAGGCTACAAAAGCAAAGAACGGACATGGTTTCCGCAGAGTACTGGTTCTCTTGTCGAATGATCAACGCCTGAGACCGACTCGCAAAAGAAGTGGTGGCCGGATCACCTACTGACTTGTTCCAAAGGGGATTGGACAAGCACAGAAATCCGCTGGAAAAAGATTAATACAGGCTTCCAGCCTCCTATCCTCAAACAACAAACCCGGATCTGAAATCAGTCCTCGGACGGGTTTGACCCACATAGACCCTTAGAATGCGCGTATGCTACAGTATATTCTTCGGAAAATGTGAGTGATGAACAACGTGCATTTTCATTTGGACACATGGGATAGGTGCAATAACCTGAGATCCGTAATCCCAAAACTTGCGCCTGGGCGCCGCAAAATCAATCTGCAGCCTCCCCAAGCACTCGCTGGTCGTGAAAACTACCTGTTGAATAAAGGTAACCGATCTCGTCACCCATCTTCAAGGGAGGAGACAGAAAAAGCCCTGGCAGTTACAGACCGATCGCCCTACACCTTTACCGACCAAAGCATTAAGAATTCTGATGGCTGACGAGGTCTGCGAATTCTTTAACTGAAAAAAACACTGTCCATACTGCTGAGCATGGCTATCAGAGTGGTCATGTATGTACCACTAACTTTCTGGCCAGCTGGAAGTGCTGAACATTTAGCTGGGACAACAGAAAATAGTTACGTATTGTTTTTACCGACATGGCTAGAGCACTTGACAGTGTTTTACCCACGGTCCCGTTTCACGAGATTGTGTCAGTTGGTGTAAGTGAACACCTACTCTCATAGTTCAGAGCGTACCTAGAACGCAGGTAGTTATACGCCACGAACGTCAGGAGTACCCCAAGGGGCAATCTTGGGATCACTTTCGTTTCTCCTGTTCGTCAACGATCTGCTACGCAAAATCTCATTGCCCATCCTGTTCCTCACTGATGACATTAAAATTTGGGGGGTAGTAGACGAAGAGGCCGACTGTATAACACTTCAAAGTGACCTGTAGCATCTTGAACTCTCATCGTTGGAAAATGGCTTGAGCTTCAACTTGGAATAGTGCGAAGTAATGCGCATCAGTACTTATGATTAGAGGACGATCAACTTCCATTACAGGCTGAGTAACAATGCCATTATCAAAGTATACACGGAAAAAAATTTATGGCTCAATCCCTCAGATAAGTTAGACAATAGCTTCAACTGTAAAGACATGGCAGCCAGAGAGAACGTCACTTTTCACATCCCACGTGGACAGCTCAAAGTCCTCATGTCTCAACTGTTTCTAAAAGTTTTCAGATCCTACGTGCTGCCGCACTCAGAAGTCGTCAATACGGTAGCACCCTCAACAATCATAAGAGGCTCCGATTTCCTTGAAAATATGAGGATCTGAAACGAAATCAGTTATGGAACTAAGGAAGAAGGCATACGCTGAAAGCCTGAAACGCCTACATTTATTCACCTTGGGCTGTCGGAGAAAGGCGTGAGCTTCATGTGACTTGCAATGTCATTTCTCATGGCTTACCACAAACGAACTCAGGGAGTTACCAACCTCACTAGCTCACCATTACTTTTCTCTTACTTTCCACTCACTACTTTCCTTGCTGATGCATCTGCATTATCCACGAATTCTCCTCTAGCAACTAGATCCATGCTACCCACTTGCACCTTTTGAGAAGCTCCCGCATGGTTTTTTCTAGCTATCTTGTCATTAGGACACTTGCAGAGGCAGGTGTTGTGACAGACTCCTAATCTTTCCAGGCTTCCAAACTACTCTACAAGCTGCAATTTGCCAGCCCACAAACACATTAACCTCACGGGAGCTAAAAGCGAGAAAGCGGAAGAGGTTTCTTCATCCACTCCAGAATCAACCAAAATAACACGAATCAAGCCCTGAGAACTAGACTTGAGGGACCGAAAACTATCAGTTTTCTGTGCTTGCGTTATCACTGTTGTAACTCATGGTTCGGACTGATTATGAGCAAAATACAGGATACCATTAATTACGAGACATCTGAAATGAGTTTTCTCGATCGAAGACGGTTTTGCATAAAATTCAAAGCAAGATGGCTAAGCACCGGCATGTTTGTTCAGTAGAGTGGATGAACATTTGTTTGAAGCTTTGGATACTTTCACCAAGTGCTTCTCTTACATGTTTTGCATTCAGAAGTCATCACTTTTGTGTGTTCCATGGATCACACTTATATGTCATCCAGAATTCATGGGTACTTTGAAATTTTCTCCCTACCATCATACGCGGTAGTCAGCTGTTCCTGAAGCCGCGGTCGTTTTTTACTCTACACTAGTGAAAGTTCACGGTGACAGAATTTAAATAAAAAGACAGAGCATTCTACTTAGGATGTTTGTTCTTATTTATTAGTAGCTGATCATTGTCCATCCCAAAATTCAAGGACGTCTTTATAAATTGAGCCCATTATCATACATCCCCAACCAAACTGCTCTTAGGGAATAAACTACGTAGGAGGCACAGTTAGAACCACCCACCTCAGGATACAAAAATGTCTGCCTTCTTGGTTTGCAAAGGGTGAGTTCGAAACGGCGGAACTTCTACACTAGTGCATCTGGTAGACGCAGGACACCAAACAGACGCTAGCACTACTTTTGTTGTAATACGCGGGAGTTTCGAAGACTCCATCACCCGCATTTTGCTGACACGTTTCCCAGACGCCTGAAGCATTGGCTACTATGTCGAATAAGTCCGAACTTTGTGCTAAAAAAGAACACGACCAAGCTTAACCTCTTCCGTGGCTAAGTTGCATCCATTTCTACCTGAGTTTGCCATTAATTCGGGCACTCTTTCCTCTCAAAAAATTAATTTAGCCACACTTTCCCTTGTGGTTTCCCTTCGTTTCTAATAAGCTTTTGAATATCTGCAGGACTTCCCTCACAGTTCGTTTATTATTCAGAATTTTATTAATCTTGTTATCATACCTGTAGCGTCACACACTCCCCAAAATCAATAGCCTAGGGTTCGACAACATCCAAGATTGATGCTGACCTTGATGGTTTAACTGCACTCGCTAAGCTGAGGACACCCGGTCAAACATCCTCGCCATTTGGCACGCTGTTGTGTCACGTTGCACCGCTCGTAATCGACTCTCTAATCAGTTAGTTGGAACGCATCGGTATCTTGGCACAACCATCCAAATATACTATTCCATCCGACTACGCTATTGTGTTCTTCCTTGGTCCTGTGTTCGTGGGTATATAATAAGTTCGAATAATTAGTGATTGGCCTTTGAGTCTGTCTAGTTCGCACCAGGACAATTCCTAAATCGGTGAGCACCAAAGTGATAACAAATCCCTACCAATAAGAAATTTTGAATTGGTGAGCCTGTTCCATTTTATATCTGTATGTTGTTTCCACTTCGATAACGCTTATTATCCAATACAACCCTTTTCACGTCCGACCATACTCTCAAGCTTATCCGTATTAAGCCAACTCCGAATACCATCCAACTCGTGCCATATTGGCCAGACAATGCTGAAACATGGTTTCTATATGCCAAGGCGGATTTCCGAGAACTAGGAGTTACAGGTCCCCATTCCAGATTTCCTGCTGTCATACGCTCACTACCGAGCAAACTAAACAGGCATGTTGGTCCTGAAGTAAGTGATCCATATGCACCTCTCGAAGCTGCGCTCCTGGCGAAAAGTGATCTCACAGACCGCCAGCGTCTACGCGAATTACTTCGTAACATCGGACTAGGCAGCCACTCAGCTACTGAAGCCCTTGCACGAATGTGAGAAGTTATGGGTGCACGAACATTCGACGATGGCCTTTTCCGGGACCTATTTCTTTCGAAACTATCACAACCGTTGCAAACCATGTTGGTGACACTTCAGTCAATCCCACTCGATGATTGGCAGCCTCAGTAGACAAAATACTGAAGATCTCCAAAGTATATCCTATCTATAATAAGGCAGAGAGCCAGGATTCAGAGGTGACCAAGCTGTGCAAATCTGTTAAACAGTTGCTGTGATCTCGAAGTACTAGTTCACGTAGCACTCACAGAAACGCATCGCAGCGACTCGTGTGATTGTCCTAAAACTAAACCTAACAGGGTGGAAAACCCCAAATGGTGCTGGTTTCACAATACTTACGGAGACGAAGCCAGAAAATGTCGGGATCCATGCAGTTTCAAGAGGGACACAAACTCGGGAAACGGTCACGCTGGCACGTGTTCACGGCAACCGTAGCCGGCAGGAGCAGCCATTTGCTGTACGTCACCGACATTAAAACGAAAGTTTGCTACCTCGTCGACACTGGCGCAGAAGTTAGCGTTCTTCCAGCAACGATAAAGTAGCGTCATCATGACCCATCCTTCGATCTCCGAGCAGCCAACGACAAGGCAATCGTGACATTCGGGGAACGGTATGCCTACCTCAAACTCAGGTTTGCGCAAACCCATTCGCTGGATTTTCCTCCCGGCTGACGTTTCTATGCCCGTCATTGGCGTAGACTTGCTGACCATCACGATCTACCCACAGGTGCCCCCGTCAACGTCTGATAGATAACAACACAAAGTTATCTGTTGGCGGCACCACCTACATAGGTCCGAGTTTGGCCATCGTTAGACCTAAATAATCAGGCGACGCGTCCTACCAAACAGTTTTGGAGAACTATCCAGAGCCACAACAACCGAAGCATACTCTTCCGTGCATAACCAGCAACGCTATGCATCATGTCACAACCACAGGTCGACCTGTGGCATCCGAAGCCCGGTGCCTAGCTCCTGACAAGCTAAAAACTGCAAGGAGTGAATTCAACCACATGCTGGAACTGGGCATTATCAAACCATCAAACAGTCCTTGGACATTGCCATTGCACATGGTCCCAAAAAGGATAGCAACGACTGGCGTCCAACCGATGATTACCGAAGGCTAGTGCCAAAACAACACCGGACTGCTACCCGATACCTCACGTTTACAACCTGACTGCGACGTTATGCACAATGAACATTTTCTCCAAAATCGGTCTGGCCAAGGTGCACAATCAGATACTTAAGGCAGCAAGGGATATCGTGAAGACAGTCATCATTACTCTTTTCGGTTTGTTTGAATTCCCGTGCATACCATTTGGTCTTCGGAATGCAGCACAAACACTCCAACGCCTTGTGGATGATGTCTTCCGTGGTTTGAATTTTATTCACGTCTACATCGATGACTGTCTCATTGCGGGTCCAGATGAGGAAACATAGTCTTAAATGTTTGGGCCTCGTATTCGAAAGACTTAAAAACATGGCATCACAGTCAACTTACAGAATGCAAGATGGGAGTCAAATCACTCAGCTTCCTTGGGCATACTATTGGCAACGAAGGTATATACGTCCATTGAGAGATAAAGTGGCGGCCATCACAAACTATGCAGAGCTGACCACTGTGAAACATCTTCGCACTTTCAATGGCCTGGTAAGTTGTTACCGAAGGTTTATCCCCAACTGTGCCTCTGCCATGAGACCACTCACAGATCTACTTCGAGGGACCACGAAGTTCGTGACTCTGGACGACGTGGCTAGACTTACTTTCCCTAAGGTCAAGGAAGCCATTTCAAAAGCAACCATGCTCATGCATCACGACCCAATGCTCCTTTGAGTACTGCTGTTGATGCACCTGACTCAGCCATTGGAGCAGTTTTGCAACGGTTGACTGACAATCAGTGGCAAACGTTAGTTTTTTTCTCGAGGCGGCTGCGAGACGCGGAGACAAGATACAGTATATTTGGTAGGGAACTCCTAGCTGCGCACTGTTCTATATGTGATTTTCGACATTCGGTGGGGGGTTGCGGCTTCATTATTTTCACAGACCACAAACCGTTAGGGTTAGGTGTTCAAGCCACTTTCAGGCTTATTGAACAACGTTTCTGCTGGCCTGGAATGAGCGAAGACGTTAGGATGTGGGCTCAGTTGTGCTTATCTTGTCAGAAGTTCAAAGTCACGTGACACACGAAAAGCCCTTCAAGTTTTTTTCTAGCCCCAGACATGCTTTTTGACCACGTCCATACAGATATTGTGGGACCTCTACCTGAATCTAATGGATTCACCTGCCTTTTCACCTGAGTGGAACGTTTTACGGAATGGCCAGAAGCAGTACCTGTGAAATATATTACTGCTGAAACAGTAGCTGGTGTTTTTGTAGAAAGATGGGTTGCGAACTTTGTGACGTAACAACTGACCATGGGAGCCAATCCAAGTGCGGATTATTTCACGCTGTAACTGCGCCTCTGGGTTGCACTCGGTCCCGAACTACAGCTTACCGCCCACATGCAAATGGCGTGGTGGAGCGTTTCCGTCGACAGCAGAAAGCTTCTCTTTCAGCTGCAAACATACCTCAGTGGACCGAGGCTCTGCCTCTAGTCCTACTAGGTATTCGTAATGCATTGATAGTCGATGCCGGATGCTGCCCTGCAGAACTCGTCTATGGGACCACTCTTCGCCTACCAGGTGAATTTGTTCCCCCTCAATTTTCATACTTGTTTCCGACAGGGCATCTTACTTGACTAGGCTTGCAAACTCAATGCGTTCAGTTAGGCTTTCTCCGGTTAGACTTCAAACGACTGATGTCTTCGTTCACTCCAGCTTACGAAAGACATCACACATGTTTATTCGCCACAACACCGTTTTTCGACCACTTGAACCACCGTCCGATGGGCCATTCAAAGTGATAAAACGACACGGGAAATTCTATACAATTGAGCAAAACGGACGTGAAGTTACTGTTGGTATCGACCGTTTGAAACCAGCTTATTTCGAAGGCGACCCCATTATAAGTGGCGTTTCAGCTCGCTATAGCCAACTGACGGACAGCCCAAATACCGAAATTCTTGACGATGTGCCTGGTAATGCAGTCACAAAAACCGTCGGTGCAACAGAAAACACTATCAGGTCGAACCGTCAGGTTCCCGGAGTATTTGAAGTCGTATTCAAGTAAGCGGTGTAAAATGAATTGTGCTAACTACTTTTGTCTATTCAAAATTTTTTTCGGGGCACCATTCTTCTTATTTGCCGGCAATGCGAGAACCCCTCCACATTTTACCTTTTTATATCAACTTCTTACTACCACGTAATGAAACTTTTTCAAAAAAGAAGTGAATATGAGCATAAACTTTATTTCCGATATGTTTATATATAGATAATTCCCATTTTACGGAACATTTTCGTGGTATTAAAGACTTTTACTTGTATTCTAGGTGCAAGGAGCACTGAACGGAACGTCAAAGGAAACTGAGGACTGTGATCGATGTACAATTCGACTTATTGTATTTCATTTTTCACTTGCCACGACACCCTAGAATAAGTTTAGACAGCCAGGGGCCACTTCTCGCAGTGAGCCCACCTGAAGAGTTTGACCAGTGGAGAGACCACTGGGTTTTTACTTCCGGCTGGTATTGTCTTAGGGTCCTACGAACCCACTAGGGGGAGTGATCTGTAGCGTCACACACTCCCCAAAATCAATAGCCTAGGGTTCGACAACATCCAAGATTGATGCTGACCTTGATGGTTTAACTGCACTCGCTAAGCTGAGGACACCCGGTCAAACATCCTCGCCATTTGGCACGCTGTTGTGTCACGTTGCACCGCTCGTAATCGACTCTCTAATCAGTTAGTTGGAACGCATCGGTATCTTGGCACAACCATCCAAATATACTATTCCATCCGACTACGCTATTGTGTTCTTCCTTGGTCCTGTGTTCGTGGGTATATAATAAGTTCGAATAATTAGTGATTGGCTTTTGCGTCTGCCAAGCTCGCATCAGGACAAACCTTAAATACCCTCTCTATCATTTCATGTACTGACCATTTTTTGAACAGTGTCCACTCCATTTCCACCCCTCTGGTAAACTCATGTCATTCCCCATGGTAATTTACTCTACATGACACACAGCAACCCTGAACTCAATCAATAATTCCTCTTTCCCATGCTGGATACATACACTACGTCCAATCATCATTCGTTTGACATTCAACCAAGTACTGCAATTCCCATGCATGTATAAGTCACATCACCACACACAAACTTCAACCAACCTACTTATGATTTCCTGTTCATTTTAAAATGCGCTTGCTGTAAATTTCACAAATAATATGTAACCAGTTCTGGCTGATTAACTGCAGAACCTGGGTAGTTGTTGTCAGGTCTCTTATACGGTCATAATTATCCTTGGGTATGAAAGACGTCTTCCCTGACCCACCTATGGTGAAGTTGGCATACAGTCTTTGCACTGCATTTGGTCGAATAGTCATGGGTGTTTGGGATTTCGTGTTGTCAGAGTGCCCTTAAGTGAGTTTCAAAATAAGTAATCGATTTCCTGATGTACAGCTGGCCAGTATGTCTAACCACGTACCAGTCACCTCATGTTAGTGATGTTCGCATGACCATTTTTTCAGTAACTGCTGGTGAAGAACGTTTGGCACTTCGTTCCCATTTCCGAGCATCATACACTGGTCCACAATTGACAATGTGTTGTGGCGATGACAGTTTCGCTCAAGATAACCAGGACTATGAGATAAAAGAGTAGAAATTTGGCACTGAGATAGATTTTAATCCCACTTTAGTCCGTTCACTAGAAATATCAGTGATACAGCATTATCCACTGGATAGCATTTTGGACACAATTTATTACCCATATTCATGTCAGGTAACTCCACAACTTTCAGTCTATATGGCGCTAATCTCTCCTTCTTTGTGACAAGAGTATTAAAATTTTCCACATGTCTGGTATGGGTGCAAAATCATTCCTATTGTGTGTATTTGGTATCGATTCGATAAACGAAGACTCGGCTGTCAATCCCTGTTTTCTCACAACTAAGTTTTCAATACTGTCGCTCTATCGTGTAGATACCTAGAGCCGGGCTTTTCCCTTAGTCTCTTATCTTACGATCTACTTGTCCTGGTTTAGCTACGTTTTTGTGCTGTTATTCTAATTGATCCAGGTCGACTAATTTGACCTATGTGCTTAACCTCGTGATCATTCCAAAGAATTTGGCGCACCGAGTTATTTTGCCTAACTGGATCCATAGGATCTTTTAACCTACAAAAGTTGTTTCCAAGCGAGTCTATTGGTCTGGATGTCACTTTAATTGCAGCCTTATAAGGATTCTTCGTAACGCTTGTGGGGCATCTTCTTTGTACGGTAACACACTGTCGCCGTTTTTACCGTTATTGATGGAATTATTTTTAATAGCATGTATTACTCCTACAGATGCTTATATTTGTCTTTCGATTTCTCATGAATAAAAAAATCTAGGCGGGTAATTATAGAGACGCAATGGTACTCATGTGTCTGACTTCTTGTCGTAGATTTTTCGTCCTACTAGGAAGCTTCTTTACCCTATTACTCAGGCATTCAAATAAGCCCACTTCAGCTGAGTTGGTTTGAAGTCAAAGTAGCGATTGGAATGAGGACGTTTCCAACAGATATCAGTCTCTATAGTCCCATCTTGCTTTCATTTAATCTTGGGCTGCGATCTAAGTTTATTAGTAAGTTTCAGTACCGTAATCTGACATCTAATATCCAAAGTAAATTGTGCGCATGTTGGAAACTGATGTTTTTTAACTCTTGGACCTACTTTTTCGGGATAAGTTCTTTTGTGCTCCTTCGGTGGCCACAGAATTCTCCTAAGTTTACCTGCGTATAGCATTGAAGACAGTGGTTATCTGCTAGAAGACTGCTTGATCTAAGTAAAGTCAATAAAAGGCGTCATTGCATATGGCCTTCAAACTATACTGACTGAAAGTTTGAAGACGTTTAGTGGGTGTTTTGTAAGTAGCTTAAAAAAATGAAGAGGGAAATGGTCGTATTTATTGACTATTGTAATCAGCTTTGTCAGTGCTGGTTGTTGGCAAAATCTCGGTACAGATATAGAAGGGTTGTCCGTCATCTTTAATGCTCACGAAATTATTTGACTATCTACCAAAAGACCAGTGGACTTTACTGCAGTCTAATGTGTTTCTGTGAAACTCGACTGCTGGAGTGGAAAACATGAAAAAATTATGAGCATTATACCGGAGACGTGTGTAAAACATTGTACCTTGACAGTTCTCAAAGCCTAAAACACCAAATTTTCTTATAAATCCTAAGCATCTTCTCATCGTACGTTTATTATTTGTTGTCTTATTTTTTCCCAGTTGTCGACCACAACTAACATCATAGATGTTTTCTTTTTTTTTTTTTAGGTTGCATCATTGCTGTACATTAACACAGTTCAATAACATGAGATGATAGTCAACTACTCCAGGTCCTTTCTTATCTGTAATTCTTCTGTCTGAAACAATACACGCCAAATAAATATTACCTTCAACATACGTCAACACTTTGTGAATATTGATTACATAGTCTTCAAATCAGAGATATGAAGTAACATCCCCAAGGAAACCTATATGGGAGAACACTGGAAATTTGTGAAAGCGACGTGGGAGGCGACCTGCATAATCGTGTTAGGAAGGAAGAAAAAAGAAGACAAGACAAAGAATAAATCTCCACGAACACATAGAAGCTGATAGAGGAGGGAAAGGAAGATGGTGAAGCAGAAGACGAACTAGTGCAGTGCAGGGATGAACAACGTAGAGAGGAACTGAATACAACCTATAAAACACTGGACAAAGAAGTGAAGAGGAGTGCACGGAAAGACAAAGGATACTTCTATGACACACCTGAAAGTGAAGCAGAACGGCCTACAGGTAGGAGATACAGAGACCTGACAACATTATATCAAATAACCAGGGGAAGGGAAAAGATCAACTCAGATGAAACCAATGAAAGATAGTGAAACCCTATGTTCCCACTAAGAACTCAAAGTAAAAATCAATAATAATAATAATCTTTCAATCACTCTGTTTGAAGTAACTACATACAACTCTTCTAGAATACTTGTTGATATAAAAAAAAGTACTACTACAAAGTCTTCTAAAGTTAAATTTTGTGCAAAAACGGATTGTAGGAAAGCACACACATAAATAGTGCGCTTCGTGCATCATCAACATTAACAACAGAACCCATCTAACATATAAATCAAAATTCTGATTGCTGGTCAACAGCGAAAATTAACTACAGCATGGATGTTTACTATATATATAAATATATAATATATATATCCTGAAGAACTGTGATATCAAGGAAATAAGTATATTTAAATAAGAAAAAACAACACATGTGCAATTGGTATAAAACGCTTAGCATAATTTGATTATCTAAGAAATTATGTCGATTGTAGTGGGCTATTTCTTCCACTTGATTTCCAAACATATTTCCCAGAATATTGAAAACCTGCTCGTTTGCACAAAACATCCGCTTCTTTAGGACCATTACGACTGAAATAAGAAGTGGAGAGAGAGAAAAAAAAATAAAGCACTGTAGATTTACTTAAGCTTCCATTTATGACCAAATTAATTTTACCCCCTATTACTCATCCAGAGATTAAATGTTTCATTTAAGATTCGTTTTTATGATAATCGATCATATTCCATTTAGAGATTTTTGAGGATTTATTTATTGATTTCAGGTTGATATTCATCATCGATTGACATTAGTTGAAAGAACTTTGGGGACTTACGAGCACTAGACAGCTGTTTCGTCCTGTTATGGGACTCATCAGCAATGCATATCCATGACCCCACCAAGGATCGAATCCAAGGCTTTCAGGTTCCACGACCAGCATGTTACCATTGATTAGATGGTGGTTAATGGACATTGAGAAGATGTATAAGTTGAAGAAATATTGGAGTTAATTCTTCAACTTCATAAGTAACGGCACATGTACAACTTTTTAGTTAAAGTCAACAAAACTATGAAATTAATTTTAGAACAGTATGATAAATTAAATAAGCCTATACAACTGGAGTGACTTTAAAGGCCACCCCAGCAACTGATGAGACAGCCAATTACATTCCTTTATTTTATGTAAAAGTACTTATTCTTTAAAGTCACTGATACAACCGCTCTGATGAACTTTTACATACAACTCAAAAGCAATCGTCGTAAAATTCCCAAACAATATTTTCTCCTTTATTTCAGCAAACTTTATTATCCTAGTTACTACAAAAAAACGAACATAAAACACTATATAACATTATAGTACTAATGGAGGGTAGCCAGCAGTAGAACCCAAGGAAGAGCGTCTCGTTGTATTTGGGACTCACCAGCTGGGTCTATCTGTCTCTTAGTGAATGATATTCCTCACACTAAGACACTAAGCCAGGACTAATCACTTTAAAACATAGAGTTGTCCAGTAGGCCACTGAGTCATAATGCAGCATATCAGAGTTCTCATGACAACAGTTTTCTCACACTGAGCTAAAAGCTTCTCAGTCTCATTAAAAGTACTCTGGTATTAAACCAGTAGGTATCCGGGCATCAATTGATAACCGCCAACTTCATTCAACCCATTATGTAGTGTGTTTTTAATATACATCAGATCAACTAGACATTCCTTGAACCAACAAGATACACTCCCTTCGTAGGAAATAATGAATCATTGTGTTCAACTATTATCAAATTGGTCAATGTCTTCAATAGTGAATAGAACACATTGAGAATTCAAACATGGAAATGAAGAAGCTGGTCATCATAGTTATTAAAGCGATTTCCTCTGCTTCATACAAACTGTAACTTAGCGACGAAAGGCAGCCAACAGCGGAGTTGTTTTCAAGTCATGATCATATCATGTTCAGGTCATGATTTATGCATGTGCTGATATGAGAACCTGATTGGAGTAATTCGACCTCATACGAGAAATCGGATTGGTTGATTTATGGCTTCACTTTCTAACAGTTTTGTAAATACATATATGTCATGTATTTGCTCAATAAAAGTTGTCGTTGTTCTTGCAGTCACAGACCGTCTTTGGCTTGTGATCTTACGCAGCTCAGTGAACCAGAAGGTACTAAGGGAGGTCAGTCGTAAAAGTATTCGGTTGAGGTGTCGATTGAGTTTCAGTATCATTATACCCACACATTCAACCCCACACGGTCACGACACAAATGGTAGATCTTTCTGCTGTCGACATAACCAATGCACAAAGGACGGACTTCTAATTTATTATAAAACCCCAATACTAGAGTGAGAGCCTTTCATGAACGTTTCAAAGTAAAAGTTGAAAAACCAAATAGCTAGTCAACAGAATTCACAGTAAAATGAAACAATTAAAGTAAACAAAGTGTATTAAAATTACCTTCCATAAGTATATGGATATGGTTTGATCTTATTCTCTTGTAAATAGTTTAAAATTGGTGTTAATATGCGCCAAGCCTCACGTAACTCATCACTACGTACAAAGTTTGTTTGAACTCCACAAAATACATCCAGAATTAATCTTTCATAAGCATCTGGTAATTTGATATGCTAAGAATAAGTTAACAAAAGGATTATTAAAAAGATAAAAGAAAACAAAATTGATTCTTACTTTATATCTGTTAGCATAAGTTAAATCTAGTTCTGTTACTTCTGTCTGAATTTTCATTCCAGGAGATTTAACATTCATTTTGATATAAACTGCTTCATTAGGTTGTACACGTATGACTAATTCATTTCGTGGAACCTCATCGGAACCAAATATATGAACATAAGGCTCTCTAAACTGAACTCTGACCTCTGCTTTTCTTTCATTTAGTGCTGATATTCATAAAAAATGAACACAATAATACATATTTACAAATATTATATACCGAAAAATATTGAATAATAAGCATACATTATGATAATAAATTTAAGATATATATTGTTAATTAGCAAATGTAACACAAAAACACATTAATGTCCTCATTTAACAATTTACAATGGGTTGATTTTTCACATAGATTTCATGGAATAAAAAAATTATCAACATTTTGTGAATTAGTCAAAATAGAATGCCATAACATTATAGTTTGGCCTCTTATGAACTTGTTAGTGGATTATATGTAGTCCATCAGTCAGTATCGATGTTGAAACTAACATGATTGTGCAACCGTTCAAAATGTCATACTTCATATCAGTACATTAAGGTAGAAAGGTGAAAAAAAGAAAAAAAAGCACGAAAGTGACCCAGAGTGATAAAAGGAGAACAACTATGAGATTCGACATTACATTTGAGATGAAGATGATATGTGGATGCGTTTGAGATCGATTCTGAGCCATATCACTGACAGTTTGCAACTACCAATTTCAGTTGTCACACAGCTCAGAATAACCTTCAAAAATTTTATGGACTGATGAAATGTTATAGTTTGGCCACCTCTAACACTTCACCAGCCTGAAATAGCATCAACTAGCAATTTGTGAACGGGGACTAGGCATGCATGATACATGTCCTAGCCACTTGAGTCAATAAACGTTCACAACCTCATCAAGTGACTTTCCTTCCTAAAATCTTACACTTAGTTTTTATGTTACCGACTTGGTGATACCATGACATAGCTTATGCTACGAAGGCGAGGGTGGTCAATCGCCTAAAGCCTTCTCATGCCCTCTACCTTTATTAGACATGTTTCACAGCCAAGAAGTAGAACAGAGAGAACTGCAGCGCAGTACATTAGACATTTAATAGGTAATCAGATATCACAACAGAACGATAAATGGAGTAAGTTGGCGAAGGCATATCGAGCTTTTTGTGTCAGTGTAGAGATTTCGTCGGTCACTGATCAACCACGGTTAGTCCAACTTTCCAGGTAAGTGAAATGGTCGGTACGCTCAAACACTTCACTTCCTATTGATACACAAGGCACCAACATAGACCAGTTGTGAAGAGACAATTTGTTTTTGGCGAGACACACGTCTCAAACATTTTCTAATTGGCACTTGAGGTGTTCAGAAGACTCCACATCTTGTTAGCGTCTTCGTCTGGCAGGACTATAACAAATGCACACTTCAGATAGACTAAGGAGTCTTATATGACCATGTCGACCCCTGTGAAGTTGGACGAGAAGAGTGAGATTTTCATAAGTACCTCTATAGCAAACTTAAGTAATATTTGAGAGAGTAGACACCGGTCGATGTGCACAATTCACCTACTAATTAAGCATAGGCTTTTATATGCGCATTAGTGTTCAAGTATGGAGGCTTAAAGAGGGTGATTTATTTACCTCGCACCCCTTTCAGTAAGAGACATACAGTAAGAGAACTGTGTCCGCGCACATCCATTAATTCAGAAAATAGTGCTGAGATTCACTGATCCTTTCTAATCACTCTTTAAGAGACAGTTACGGTCTTAAACCTTGCTTTTACAGCGAACTGGAGATTGTACGAGGCTTTTCCTGAGTGAGTGATGTCGTTCTGTTAATATAGCTACCTAGTCAGCTCTTCACTGTAAGCAGTCTCAGTATTTTAATGATCAAGCTGCACTCGAAATGGTCTTCTTCCTAAGCTTTAGTCTATGATGTCAACAAATGGAAAGTCAGTGGTCACAAGGGTTTGCAGATGCATTTAGAAAATAGTTACATGCCAACAGATCTATATGCAAAACTGCTAAAAAAGCGAATCTAATGAAATTTCTCGAAACATATATCCCCTCTAATTGATCTATATTCTAAATGGGATAAAAAAAACCTGATTAGGTAGGTAATGTGAAGACAAATAACCAACAGCTCAAAGTCACACATTCACATGACAGCCAGGCAAACTCTCGATAGTTAAAGTGAAGTTAAAACCTGATCAAGAGGCAAATCGCCTAGCTTAGTTAATACAGAGCCTGACCAGTCATTCGAATGAGGTTGTTGTGAACCTTGCCATAATCAAGGATTTCATGTCACTATCAATCATTAAGTGGTGTCAATAATATTAGTTGGTCAAGTTATGGTTATCTCAGTCTTACTAAAATACACACCACTAGAAAGTATGTACAAAGTAACATATTAAGCAGTACTATGTTAATAAAATTGCTCTGATGATAAAAATGCAAGTAAATTTTATCAAAGCATTTCCAATATAGGCGAAAAAATATGCTTCAACTGAGTTTGAAGAGTGAGTCCATTGCTACAGTTGTCCTAAAATACTATGTGGTAACAGATAGACAACCAAATGATTTTTCAAACGATCCGAAATTGAGCAACTGTTAAACTTTTCGTACCAAATGGTTATTGTTCTAGCACATGAATCACAAATCCAAATATGAGATGGTATTCTGCTCTATAAGATTTAACGATTACTGAAGTACTTTGAATAGATCATATAATATGGTTAATGAAGTTCATTGACTTGGTTCTAGGTGAGAATTATATGATTTCTTAGCTACTTAATGCATGAATTTTAAAAGCATTGATTCAACTATTTTATCTTACTTTTTGTTTAAATTTATGGGGGAAGCATATTCATTTATATTACAGCATTTCAAAAGTCACAAAGTAACTTGAAGGCCAACTTTAAAGGCCACACCAAGAACTGCTGAGATAACCAATGAGATTCTTATATTCTATGATACAGAAACCTCATTGGTTATCTCAGCAGTAGTATTGAAAGCATACGAGTTTAGTATGTTTTACATTTTGGAGTCTCATATAGCAAGTAAATAAAACATTTTAAGAAGTAAAGACAAAAGTGTTTATAAAAGTAAACCAACCTTTTCCAGCCCTTAGAATGAATGGAACACCTTTCCAACGATCATTTTTCACATACAACACAGCACAAACATAAGTAGGAGTTATTGAATCTGAAAGTTTGAAAAAAAAAAAGAGAAACAAAAACTCATTACATATTGAAACATTGAAATTCATGTTGACTGGTTAAATGATGAAGGATGTTTTACTGTAATAATTTCACTTTTTCGAAATTTTACAATTGTTATAGGCATAAGGCAATTACATTGACATATATTGTTTAGTAATCTTTTAAGTTTAAAAAATGTAAACAAGTGAAACCTTGCTTTAGGTTTTTAAAACACTAGGTACATTAGACTACAGATGAGTTATCGTCTATTGGTCTAAACATACAACTTTCATCAATTAGTGCATCAGAGCCTTGAACTTTGCTTCAACTAGTGAAGTTCTGATAGCTAGGTAAAACAGCATTTATCCTCACACATGCCATAATGCACATATGCCACATATGCCATAATCTAGTACAAAGATTAGTGTTACATTGTTTGCTTATGCTCTTCGGATCATTTCACAATATAAAATGAAAGTATAAGAGTTCGTATCTATATACCAAGTTATTATTATTATTATTTGTCCCTCGCGTTCCTAGCAAAACATAGGGCTTCAAGTAGCACGTCTCCATTTCACTCTCTTCTCTCCAGTCTTTTCAACCTGCGTCTACAACTGCCCATAACCTTTCATTTCCTCCTCATACAATCTCCTCCATGTCACCCTCGCTTCCCATGCCCAACTCGTCGCTTCCCATCTGGGTCCCACTCGACACCCTGGCCTGGCCTGAGTGTGATGTCCCCAATCGGCCTTCTCAGTGTATGCCCAGTCCCACCCATCTCCACTTCCTTCTGCATATTTTTTGAGTGAAAGGTTCTTGATTGGTTCATTACCAGCCAGAGTGAGTTCCTTGTTCCTTATTCTGGCCATCTGAGCTTCAGTAACGAGCCAGCGTAGGCAGTTGTTGATGAATATCTGTAGTTTGTTGTAAATCCCTTTCGTAACATAACAAGCTATAGTCCTGAAAAATTAATCGTTGAATAGGCATGATGCTTATCATGAACATTTTAATTTGTAGGGGTTTGCAACTGGACTCTGTGGCTTTATTTTTGCTACTGAAGTTCCGTGTCTATACCAATATAAGTGAAAAACTTGGGTACCGTGGTAGATTGTAACTCCACTTTAATTTCTTTACTAGATATATCATACAGTTAAAGAGTATTATTTACTGGACAACTTTCTGAACAAAATTTACTGTTCGAAGTTATATCACGGTAATTCCACAACTTTTAGATAAGGGTAGTCAGTAGAAAGAGAACTGGAACTATACAAACCAAGTTTCAAAGTTGTGAAGTTACCGTGATACGGTAATGGGTAATAAGTTATGTCCAAAACACTGTCCAGTAAATAATAAAGTTTTACCAATAAAGAAAGTAAACAGAAATCTATGTTTATACCTATATATGTTGTCTTGACGGTTCTACAAAAAGTGATCGACGTCCCAACGATAGTGATAACTCAACAAAAATGCTTCACACTTCCTGCCTTTTTTGACCACCAGCAGATAAGAGTAAAGTTAACAAGCAATATACACTGGTCAGTGGTAATAATATCATCAGTATTAGAGGTGAGGTTCTGTTCATACGATCAACCTACCTTGATGAATACAGATTTATAAATGAATGAAACGTTTAACACATTTCACTACTCAACTCATACATAACTGGGGCGGAAATAAGTGTGAACAATTAGTGCAAATCAACTTTTCACGCATGAAATAATGCAGAATATTCTTCGTAGCACGAAAAGTTATCTATTGGTCTGCTAATGCTCCGTAAGTATGGTATGTGCTGTGCACCACTGAAGTGCAAAGTACTTTCACAAGATTAGCCGGAGCTTATGCCTGAGCTCATCCTTGGTGGTGAGTCCTTGGAAGTAGTCGAAATATTTATGTACCTGGGTAGTTGTGTGTGCTTTTGGAGATGTGAGTGGTGGGATTTCCAACCACTTATCGAAAACTAGAGTGATAAACGCCAATCTGGGCCACCTTTGGCAGCGTAGCCACGCTATTTTGACCGTAAAAGGTAGGGTTTGCAATGCTTTGGTGGGAGCAGTTCTGCTCTATGCCTGTGTAACCTGGCCTCTCTGAGCTGAGGATGTGCGACGACTCTGCGTATCAGATCATCGGTTTCTCCATAGGATTGCTGGTATCCAGTGGCAACATCATTTAAGTAATTTTGAGGTATGACAGCATTTGTTTGGGCATGATGGAGATCGTCATTTATTAAGCGAAGTCATCTGGAAACACTGGTTTCAGTGTCTTGGACATGTTTTACGCATATCGTCCCAACGGCTTCCACACCATCCATTGTTTGCTAACTCTGGAACTGGATGGAAGTGGGGAGGCGAGGTAAGTGCATGACGTGGCGCCGTGGGATGAAGGATAGTTGTGTCGGGTTGGGATTTATTGGTGCATCATGACTCACTGGGTGGGGTTCGAGAGATCACGCTACTCAGTGGTTTGAGACGTTATCAGACATAGCTCAGGATCGAAACCAGTGGCGGCCATGCTGTAGCTTCCTTCTCTCTTCTGCTACTAAAAAGTAATGAATGTTTCGTTTCGAATGTATCTTACTGGACTGTCCTTCTAACCTTTTTTTCTTATTGTATTTTATTTTTATCCACTTCCCTTCACAATGTTGTTATATTATTTTGTATGGCGCATTTTCTGGTGCCCTTGCTGTACCATGTTTGTGTTCTAATAATAATAATAACAATAATAATAATAATAATAATAATAACAATAATAATAATAATAATAATCTCCATCACGTCTAAACACGCACAACCGCACCTTAGAATTATGTATATGATGATCTCATTAGAAGTGAGCTATCTTTCAGAGATATAGGCGGTCGATAATGCAGAGTTATTGGACACCTACAGTTTTGAAAGACCATGTTTTATAGGAGTGAGGGACAGCTTTCAGAACCGACACATTTAAAACTCGACGTTTTTATGGCCAGCATAATTGTGTGACATAATGAAGATTGGAGAATGGAACTTTCGATAGGAAATCATATTATTGACATCTCTACCAGTACTCAAACAATCAAGTAGATACACACTTTCAAACTTCTTCTAACGGTTTATCGCTAAGGATGAGCCCAAGCACAAACTCCTACCAGTCATCTAAAAGTAGTTTTCGCTTTTTGATCCAAACCACACACTATACTTACAGGCACTCATGGCCAACCCATTAGGTATATCTTGAATAGCCTGTGTAATATCACACAGTGACATGATATCATTTGCATATTCAAGGTCGGTGAGTACTTCTGTTGGTACCAAATCTATATGACTGCCAACACATATCTCTCTTAAAGTTGTCTCAATTACATCCTGGATAGAAAAGTAAAAGGAGGATTTCAAAATCGGACTATCCTGTCTAATCTGAGTGCAGGTTCGGAATGTTGGAGAGAGGTAGTTGAATGCCCTTACTCTACCTAAAGTGTTTTTTGTAAAAAACTCTCAAGATGCTGATAAACATTTCAAGTGCACTCATCTCTAACAGACTGTTACAGAGTACAGTTTTGTTGAGAGGATTCAAGGTAGCCCTAACATCAAGAAACACAATGACTGCTAGCTTGTATTACTTGTGACAGTGTACAAGTATCTAATGAAGGGTGAACACGTGATAAACGGATCTATGACCCGAATGAAATCCCACATGATCCTTATGAATCAACCTTTGTGAGTTTTGCAAAGCCTTTTAATTACGACAGTAGTCAATATGTTGGAAGTACCTTGAAGACTTTCACATACACTGCGTAGAGATTTTCGAAGATTGGCACAACAACAGCTTTATTCTAGATTGATTGAACACTAAGTATGTTATGCCTTCTCAAGCAGTCTAGTCATTCATATAGGAGTAAAACTTAGTCACTGTGGTAGATGATACTCCAATTTTAGTCTGTTTACTAGAAATGTTAAACAAATGGACATAATAATAATTAGACTAAAATGGAGTCCAGTCATTTCCCTGGCTGTAGTTTCATTCCCATGTTTGAAAATAGCAAGGGTTGAGTTTGGGTTGAGTCCCTTGGTCATTGAAGTTACTTCTGGAGAGGCGTTTTGTAGCGTGAAAATTGCCCAGATTCCTCGCCTCACTAAACAGACTTTACTGGGATGTTTACAAACTTGAAGTATGAAATAAACAGTGTGTGTGTGTAATACAATATTTGTGTTCAACACAGTTCAAGCAGAATATATTCGAATTTCTTCAGTTGATTCTCTTGTCCTTAGTATTTCCTTCCAATACTTATCTTTTCTTCCTTAAGAATCTCTGCGATTGACCGTTAAATATTACTTTTCGTAACGACATCACAACATATGGTACTTATAATCACCGACAAGTAGTCAGTTATTACCACCTGGCCACATTCATTCCATAAGATATGACAGAGGAAGAGGAGAGTTAGTAATTACGTTGAGCAATTTAAAGAACAGTCTGTGCGAATGAGTTATGAAATCTTTTCAGTCTTTATAATTAGGAGAAAAAACCCATGTACAATAATAGGTAGTAGTCCCAATACACAACACAGTGGAAAGCTCAGTGACGCGTTTGAAGTTAAGACAGGAATAAGACAAGGTTGCCGCCCACTATCACCGATGATCTTCCTGACTGGGCGTCCGAGGCGAGGATGACATGGAGGAGATGGTGTGAGGAATAAATGAGAGCTTCTGGGCAGTCATGGAGCTAGGTTCAAAAGACTGGAGAGAAGAGAGTGCAATGGAGACGTGCTACTGAAGCCGTATGTTCCACTACAGACCCAAGGGACAAATAATAATCATAAATATACAACACTGCTTCATCCAAACAAATATGTATCTAATAAATAAAGTCACCAAGAACCAGTAACAATTCGTGAAAAGATTTGATAATAGTATACATCACATTATGAAGTATACACACCAGTACATCAGTTAGCGTGCATGAATTAAATTATGAATTGATCATTGTTTATATAAATGAGACCATTGAAACTAATATAAACCTGAATTATTTTTTGTATAAAACAAGCTAAAACAATACCTTTAGGAACTGATGGGTCATCTGTGTACGATAACGAAGCAGGTGGTGATTTTGCATTTGGATCGGCAATATACTGACCAATCACAATATCATCTATTGTCAAAGGTTCAATGCTTCGAAGAACACGGACCTGAAAACAACAGAAGTATATACATATTTTTAAGGAAGCATATTTTCTCTTGGTAGACTTCCAGTAGGAAATGATGTCTATCAGTCTTGTTTACTTTATCGAGTAAAAGTATACCAGAAATGTAGCTATTTTCCTGATGCAAAGAAACGTTCTTACAACCTAGTATCAACAAGTGAAGCGAAATGAGAAAAAAAGAAAATCGAAATCCACTCAACAACTATATGCGCATATTTGTCCAGTAGGCAATGAGGCACACCTAATTTATGAGGCCTAGTAATGCTACTTGGCTGCCCAGACCTCGGTAGGTAGAACTGGCTTAGAACATGTGACTCATCGACTGAAAATCAAGTGTCTAAACCAATGAACATAGGTCTTTAAAACTAACCAAAATCAACTATAACCTTTCATTTATAGAATTTAGTTTATTTTTTGTCAAAGTATGTAACAAGAAAGAGGTTAGAACCTTCTTGATCCTATTTAATATTCATGTATAAAAAACTCATGAATAAGAGGTACACAGATGTTATATTCTTTGAAGATAAGACAGCCTGTTGAGGGGAAAATATCAAACAACTAGGATAACTGAGAGATGTTGAAAGATTTATCCTTAAGATAAATGAATTATTATTTTAAAAACCATAGTGTAACATATCATCATCTTTGATACAAACACAGATGGTTAATTGAATAAAAAAGCTAAGTAATTCATGAATATTTTATCTTCTAAATACATTTTCTAGTTATTTAGGTATTCCTTTTAGCTTATAATGACAGTGGGTGATTACAGTACACTTTCACATCTACATCAGCATTAAATTATTAACATCTCCTTCTAAAAATAGTAAACTTAGACGATGTACTTAGCATAAAACAGAAGATGAATACGAGTATAACTTAAAATTATTTTACGTAAGTAAATGATGCATAATTCTAACAACAGAAGAAAACATATTTTCAAGCTAATTTAACTACACTGGATTGATTGAATTATATATATATATATATATATATATATATATATATATATATATATATATATATATATATATATATATATATACTCACTTAGATATATACAAACACTGTGAAATTACTCATTTTGATGCGATATAAAAACACTTGAAATGTCTTAATTCCATTATAGATAGATTTTAAGTGAAGGTCAAATAATACCTAAATATAATACTTTTTGAGCATTCGGTAACCTAGAACAAAAAAGATATTCAATACTACCTAATAATCCACTGATTTTTTTCAGTCATTCAGATTTGTTACGAAAACTAATGTAAAAAAAAAGAAAGGCATATTCAGGATAATCTGCAATAATAAAATGGCATAGATTATATCAAAGAAGTCATTGTTCACGAACTGCAAGTAGTGAAATGTCCCAGGGTAATACCCACAGTGATTATCTCTTCTTCATATACCTACTACTTAAAGAACTATTTATTAAAGGGATGATAACTTCTTACTTCATAAAGCCTTGGATCTATTCTACCACCAGTCCCACCTAAAATTAGACTTTGGTCTATAATTAACCTCGGATAATACCTCCAAATAATAATAATATTCTTGCCTCCTCCAAAAGAAAATGAAATGATGCTTATTTTTTACATGTATAGACTTTGCTTTGAATTATGAACAGTTACAAGTTAAACAAACAGATAATCTCACCAATTAACTAAATACTTCAAACAAATAAAAACTGAAAAAGAAAAACAAGGAGAGTACAAACCTATTCCACTTGAAAAAGAGATAACCTCATTATACAATATATATACATATATATAAACTGATATCCGCTGCACAAGAGATGGTTCTAATGTCCCAAACGGCCTAGTAGATAACGCTTTGGTGTTTGAAGTGGTTGATCCTTGGTGCGAGGAGTCTCAGTGGGAGGTGTAAGTACATTGGGCTGATATATCCCAGATATAACGAAATATGTGTCTTGGATTCCACTGTTAGCCACCATCAAGTAAATTTCAATGTAATACATAATCACATAACATTTGGGCACACAAATAGTAGCCCATATGCCAACAGAGTTCAATCGATTCGATGCCAAATAACTATGGGAAATTACAAGTATCAATAAATAATAATAATAATAATAATAATAATAATAATAACATTTGAATTCCAATCTAAGTGGAAATTAATTGATTGTTTCGAAGTATGTGAGTATTATTTTGGCGCTGACGGAAGATCCAGTAAAAATGTAACGCTTTTCGAATGTCTTCAATATATTTGAAACAATACAGAGTACTAATCTCTAATAATTTCACCTAACTGAATGAATTCATACTGCTGGTAGGAGAAATCATCAAAAATGTTGAATAGATAGGAATGATGTTAAAAAAGTCTTCATATTTACTACTGATCAAATAATCTTGAAGACTTACCACACTCTACAATGTGCTGTATACTACTTCATAGAACTGACGCATAACAATTACGATTAAAGGATATTGTGTTATTGATATCCTTGAGATGTGAATTATTGGATAGAAAATCAAGTACGTGGTTCACTGCAGAGTTTGTAGACCAATCATGATAGCAAGTCAAATATGTTTCTCGTCATTGAATAAACTAACACAGATAACCCTGACTGGAAGATTAACGGAATGATTATTAAAGTTGAAAGAGATAATGGGATTCGATATATTAGCTTCTACTTCTAGGTTACTATCTCTGTGTTCTACTAACAGGATTACAAGATACACCTAACAGTCAGGATTAAATATCACTTCAGTAACGTGAAATTCACTAGGTTGGAATTCATGTTTAGGATATAGATTTTCTCATAACTCCACTCAACACTCGGTATATAAAGTAAACTCTATTTGACTGAGCTATCAACATATAACAGAATTAAAAACAAGTCACAAAAGTGTAGGAAGCAGGCTTCAATAAATTTCTCAACTGAATACTAAAACATAGAATCATTTTAATAAGTCATCATATCAACCATAACCATCTCGTGTACACATATTACAGAGTGTTTTTGATGGTGTTGTGTTCTCTGACCTCGATGGTTTAGCTATGAAGCTTTCATTGTCATTTTAAGACAACATCATTTGTACAAACTTCAGGAGGACTTGACAAGATTTTAGTAGAAACAACTAATCACACCCAACATCATCAAGGCAAACTATCAAGCCAATTTTAGTTGAGGATACAATCCAATAGCTCATTTATTTCTGAAGTTTTGCGTTGATGATGTTGTCTAGAATGATGATGATGAAAGCTTCAAGATTGGACTATTCACCTCAGAGAACACAATATCATCAAAATGATCCTCCTGAGCTATAAATATTCTCTTGGTTGTATTGTGTTCTCTGAGCTGGGTTGTTTAATTGTTAAGCTTTCATCGTCCTTCTAGATGACATCATCAGTACTAACTTCGGTATGAAGTGAGCTGTCAATATCTCTCCGTGAATGATTTAGTGGCTTGCCTTGACGAAGTGGTTTGTGATTGGTTGTTTCCTTTGATTGTTGCGTCATTGACAGTATAGAATTTCCTGCTGGCTGTCCTTCTGCTTGACCTTTCTGTCGTTTATCATTTTTCTTATTGGTTGGTAGATTGAGTCTATGTCTATACATCTGTTGATTGCTGACTGACCTGAATACCAAGCTTCTAGGAATTCTTTAACATTCTTTGTGTTGCCTCAATGTCAATGACACAACAATCGAAGGAAACAGCCAATCGTAGACCGCTTCGTCGAGGCAAGCTACTGAAACACTCACGGAGAGATAACTGAAAGCTCACTTCATACTGAAGTTAGTGCTGATGATGTCACTGTCTAGAAGGACGATGAAAGCTTCACAATTAAAAAACCCATCTCAGAGAACACCTGAGCTACAAATATTCTCCATCATCTCAATACCAGAATATATTCAACAAATGAAGTGAAACACTTTCGATTCTACGTCATTTATGAAGGACAATAATATCACTTAACATACATACAAACAGCTGATAAATAATGAAAATCTATACGAAATAAAACTTAAACTTTTGACCCCAGTCAATATATAACAGCCAAACGTAGTTGAATCACGTTTTAGACATATTACGAAATATACACAGTATGAAACAATTAGAATGTCAAAAGAAGTACTAACAAGAAACATGATGTAGATACCAGTACATTAAAGAAAGTCTACAGGCTACTGTACTGTTCAAATACACCAAAAGCTAATCTTTGTATACTGAATACCTACTTAATCAATCATTTATTTTTGGTATTCAGAAACAAACAAAAAATTGTTAAACGAGTACAAGAAATGATGGAGTGGTTAGACAGAGTTATACACGGTGATATATCTTATGTGGTTTGATGTTTGGAGTAGTACCGCCTGCTGAACTAACTTCTAAGAACATTCTAGATACTAATGATGGATAATGTCCAGTCGTGGAATCAAAGATGCGTGTTTCGTCCCGTTTGGGACACGTCAGCTGAATGGACTCATCTTCCAGTGAGTAGTCTTGTCTCCAACTAAGACTCACACCCAAGATCAATCAATTCAAGTACTAAGCTGCTGAGTCACAATGGCCATTCATTGTGCGATGGATATTCTAGATACTCCATTTTAACAAATTGTTGTATGAAATGATTTCTGACCGATTGATCAGGATCATAATGATATTTTTTGTCATTAAACAGACAAACAGTAGCACAGAACCTTGCAGCAGTTATCCGATGTCAAAAACAAGCTTTTTATTGCTATAAAACTTAGGTCTTAATAAGTGTGTACTTAGCTTGGATTGTAGACTTAGTCGGTTTATGCATTTGCTAGTATTTTATGCTGCTAGTGTCTGCTTGAATCACCTTCGATTCTGCTAAATCGCGTCTATTCATGTGACTCAATTTTCAAGCATTTCAATTACTCATACCTTAAGTGTTATTTCTGTAACTACAAGCAATGAGAACCATAACTAATCAATTATGAATATCCTTTATGTGTCTCTATGTCTCATTATTTGACACTATCATTAG